GTCTTTTGTTTCGTTCAAATATTCCTGTTTCCTCAAATTACATACACTAGGATGTGTTGTTGTTGTTGTTGTTTTAACCTTGACACAAAAGTCTTCTGTGCTCTTCTTACTTCGTAAACTTTTACTTTTTGATCAAGCTCTCAGCACCAGTGATTTTCATTCTGTTTGTTTGGTCCATCTCGTGTATCAATCTGATCTCTAATCGTCTTCGTTATCGCAGTTCTTAATTTGATGTGATTTTTCCAACCTTGCTTACGCTTTGCAGGCGATTTCAAACTATCACGTATTCTGCAGATGGTGAACACTTACTTGCAGCCGGCGATTCAAAGTATATTTGTCTATACTCCGTACCGGATAAAGTCCTACTCAAACGGTTCGAAATCACCTGCAATATGTCATTGGGCGGTGTACAGGAAGTGCACGATCGACGGCGTTTTCTGGCCACCCACAGCTCTGAAGCTATTCAATCACGTATACTGGACAAAACTAGTCTACCCATACCAGCTTCTCGTCATGGTGTGGATCGAAGCAGTCGTCAATGGAAACCGGATGTTCGTGTCTCATCAGTTCAATTCTCACCGACAGGTCAGTTAGCTGCTCTCAAATTGATGCCTGTTGATGATTAAAACCTTTTTTTTGATTTCAACCGAGGGAAGAACCCAAGCGGGACAGTTCCATTTGCAGTTTTTTCCTTTTTCCTACAGGGCTACTTGTTCTCACAACACGTGGGTAAGGTTATAGTCGACATCTGTTCATAGAATGCCGAATCGGGGTGGGTTTTGGATTTACAACTTATCTATGATAATCCATCAACACATTCTCTGGTTACTAAGTTTCTTGCTTTATTTTTTTCGGTCTGTGATCTAGTGTTAGACAAAAGATGCAAACCAATTGCACTGAGAATATGAGATCTCTGAATGCGCTCGCTTAAAGGTTTCACCCGAAGTGATCCTTTAGAATAAGGTTCTGTTAAATTGTTGCAGTTAGATCGTATTATCCTGTGTTCGAATTTGTTGTTTGTACTAATTGCATCCCCATGTTGGGACAATTGAAGTCATAGAGACTAAATAAACAAACATGCAGTCGTCCAACTAACCAGAGTAATATTATTCGTTCGTATTTGATCAACTTTTTCGCATCATTCTTCTTGCCTTCGGTCACCCATTTTTTGTGGTTGTGTTCAATACGTGGTTTTCCCCTGTCACCTCTCTTCTCGGTCTTTGTTCCAGGGGACGCATTCGCGGCTACCACGACAGAGGGCGTTCTGGTCTACTCACTCGCCTCGGCCGGTTCCGGTTTTGGGCTGTCTAGCCATTTCGGATATTCGCACGATCAACCGGGTTCATGGCTTTTCGAATCTGTCGGTTTAGATGAGAGCTGCACTCCACAAAACGCCCGTGCAGCTCTAGCCGATGCACGGTATAGCGAAGCTTTGGACATTGCCGTTCGTCTGCGATTACACGATCTAGTGGAGGAAATAATCGAGGGTATTCCCTCTGATCAAGGTTAGTCCGTGCAAGTTGTACTACTTTCTAGTCACACAGCTAATCTCTGTTCATAGCCCAAATCCCCTGACATTCCGTCTGGGTATAAAGTACGCATTTATCTGTCAAATAACTACTACATTAACCATATCTCCACCAGGTCACCAGTGCGAATCCATCTACCCAACTGAGGATGAAACCCCAGACCGTGCATAGGTAAAATTAAAAAAACAAACAGAGTGACTATCTGCCCGATGGTCAAGTGTGTAGTATGTGTGAAGTCCCTGGTTCGATCCTCAGTCGGTTCGATGGATTTGCGCTGCTGATGAGACCCAATCCGGTTCAATAGATCTCTTCAGTGCGTCCTAGCTTTCCAATTCACACTTCATTTACTCTGTATGCGACGAGATCAAGCCAATATCCTCAGATAAAATCCCGCACTATTGGTCAATTCTAGCTAGATTTGCTGATCAGCGTTATCATCAAATGAAATAAATCCAAATTAAGTTAGGAGTGTATCGAAAAATCGATATGCCATGTGTTCTTTTATTGTCAGTGTTTTAACGATAATAACACCACAATGTCAGTAGAGAATTCTATTTGCCGACTTTTCGGTTACCGTGGGTTACCTTTTTCAGGGCAGGTTTTACAATCAAAATGGGATCACAGATCAACAGATGTTTCATCGTGTGTGTGTGTGTAGTGGAGTAAATGATTCGTTGTCTGTCATACTAACTACCATTATCAGATGGGGTCAAGTGGCACGNACGGTGATCTTTATCGTGATTACGCATTAGAGATGTAGTCCAAATGCTCAGGATATCGAGTCCGTCGTTTCTGTTGACACATGCAAAGTGGATGTTAATGGTCAAGTCTTCGGCATACAAGCGTTCAGTGCATGTTCGAAATCCGAGATGGAGTATTTTCTGGTTGTCGTAGTCTATGGTGTAACCTTCGGCTATGGCGTGATGAGCGATCACTGAGTCTCGTTCTAGCTTTGCTAGAATTGCTTTGTCCGTAGGTTGGTATTTTTCTTTCCTCTTATGTTCGGTTATTATTGTCTTAAGTTGTCAACTGGTCTGCCCAATGTATTCTACGGGGCATTCTTGTCATTAACATCCACTTTGCATGTGTCAACAGAAACGACGGACTCGATATCCTGAGCATTTGNAGACAACGAATCATTTACTCCACTACACACACACACACGATGAAACATCTGTTGATCTGTGATCCCATTTTGATTGTAAAACCTGCCTTGAAAAAGGTAACCCACAGTAACCGAAAAGTCGACGTCGCTGTGTCATTAACATTATAACATTGACAGTGAAATAAACCAATGTTGAAGGAGACGAAGGAGACCCCTGATGTTTAACCAACTTCCACAGCTAGCATTTCACATTTAAGCGAACCGTACTGATAACTTAGCTCACAATAGGTGCGATTCCAGAGGACGGCCAAGTTCCACCAGAAACCTTTTGAAAAATTTTCTATCGGTTTGTTATCCACTAAGTAGTCTATGATTCAGTTAATCAAGCCATGGATCCGGAACTCTGGAACTCAACTGAAACGAAAACAGTGCTTTCACCATTCCGTGCTCGTTGATTTATTTGGACATGGGTGGTCGGCCCATCGATGTGGGTCATCCTTTCGTTGCATAAATAACGAAACCTGTTTTTCTCTTCTACTACTCAGTAAAGATCTTTACCAGCTTTTCAGGTAGAAATGTATTAGGTGTCAGTACACCAGTGGATGTATTTTTAGCTCTCCTAGTCAGTGTCTCACAGATTTCATTAGGTCCAAGATCGTCTAAGAAAATTTTCATTTCTTGCGATGACATCTTTGCACATAAGCCGCCCGTGATGTTTGAGTTTTCCTGAAGATGCAATTTTCAGCGCACGAAAATTGTTTACTCTACTATATTACCGGGAGTCGCACTCGCAGATATACTGTTGTATTAAGAAATGAGAGACGTACAGCGCAGTCGGTTACTGACTGGAATCCAGTCAAGAAGCGGGTGCTCAGCCTTGGCACTTCGCGCAATCCCAACACTGGTAACTGGGCAGCTACATCTCACCCGGTGGACGCATCACGGATGAAGTGTCAGCTCGCATACA